GAAGACAACATTAATTAAAATCGCTGAGATGTAAATAGGAAGGATGAAGAAAATAATGCCAGCAAACTCATAAAACAAAACTGTTAAGCAACATAAACTAAGGCAGACTGCCCCGGCAGGTGTGGAACTTCTTTTTCATTTATATCGTACCTTTGAAGTAGACAGGTTGCACATTACTGCAAACAAGGACGCAGCAACTTTTCTTCAACTTGGGCTGACATTTTCGTTTGTTTTTTCCTTTTGGGCATCTTTTACTTCAACTTTTAGTCATGCTTTTACAGATCCCCCAGGCACATCTGTTGTATATCTGGTGCTTCAAATTCAAAGCACATTGACACCAAGGCTAGCTCAGTGTAAAAAGGCAATGTTGGACAGTGGAACAGTTGCATTGACAGGCCCTTTTCACAAGAAAAAGAAGTGTGTAAACTCTGGGTAAAACAAACTCTGCTGATGCGTTATGGGCAATTATTAATTGTATAAATACTGGCGTTTATATCACTTTAACTCGCCATTCATGTATGTCATAGTTGCCAAGAATGAAATTTGAGAGTGTGTCCAGTACAACAAACACACAATAATGTGTTAGTCCAAGCTGAATAAGGGATATAAATTCTTCATGGATGAATTCCTTTACTGCTTTCAGAGTACGATACCATCAGCTAACATCTACAGAGCGATAAAATGATGGATAGGTGAAAATATCTAAAATTAAAAAGCTAGATAGCGGGAAATATTGAAACAGCATGCTAACAAAAACTTGATTAATTCCGTTGAATATTCATCCTGGTTATATGACTACAGCCTACCCAGAAAACATCTGTGTTAAGCATGGCAAACCACCATCAACAGGAAAACAACAAAGAAAAGGTATGTATATGTCCACCCTATTGTGCCTGTGTCCATCCTGTCATGGCAACATGCATGACAGGGTAGACAATGACAGGCTGGACAATTTTATCTAAAGTTACCCTTTGATGACACATGGTTGACCTAAATTTGCAGACCTGTTAAAATTTTTAAGATGAACTTGTTTTGTTTCAAAGATATATTTTGATAGTCTAAAAATATTTTAATAAACTATATGATATTTCATCACAACGGTGGACGTCTTAAGCTTGACCTCAGCTTAGTGTAGAGACGACATGAGTAATATTAAGTGAAATAAACTTATACACCGATCAGGCATAACATTATGACCTGCTTGTTTCTACGCTCACTGTCCATTTTATCAGCTCCACTTACTATATAGGTGCACTTTGTAGTTCTACAATTACAGACTGTAGTCCATCTGTTTCTCTGCATACTTTGTTAGCCCCCTTTTACCCTGTTCTTCAGTGGTCAGGACCCCCATAGACCCTCACAGAGCAGGTACTATTTGGGTGGTGGATCATTCTCAGCACTGCAGTTACACTCATGTGGTGGTGTGTTGCGCTGGTACGAGTAGATCAGACACAGCAGTGCTGTGTCCACTCAGTGTCCACTCTATTAGACACTCCTACCTTGTAGATGTAAAGTCAGAGATGATAGCTTATCTGCTGCTGCACAGTTTGTGCTGGTGAACCTCTAGTCCTTCATCAGTGGCACAGGACGCTGTTGGCTGGATATTTTTGGTTGGTGGACTATTCTCAGTCCAGCAGTGACACTGAGGTGCACTGCTGTGTCTGATCCACTCAGACCAGCACAACACACACTAACACACCACCAGCACATCAGTGTTACTGCAGTGCTGAGAATGATCCACCACCCAAATAGTACCTGCTCTGTGAGGGTCTATGGGGGTCCTGACCACTGAAGAACAAGGGGGGCTGAGGTAACTGAAGTAAAAGGGGGCTAACAAAGTAGAGAAACAGATGGACTACAGTCTGTAATTGTAGAACTACAAAGTGCACCTATATAGTAAGTGGAGCTGATAAAATGGACAATGAGTATAGAAACAAGGAGGTGGTCATATATTATGCCTAATCGGTGTATACTTATTGAACATGGAGCAGGTGTCTTCAGCCTATTAAAGATATAACAATATGAAGGTTGTGATGTCACTGATGTCAAAGGTCACGTTCTTAAAGGGGCACTTATCCCAAGATCACAGGATGGACAGCAATTGAAACATTTTACTTAAAACAACTCTGAATGACTTTGTTTACATCTCAACAATTGAAACATTTACTGGATATTACATTATTACTCTCAAAGTGGCTTCTGGATCCTGAAGCATTTTGTTGCCATCATGTCAAAACCTCATAAATGCATTTGTTTCTTTTCTTATTTATTTTTTTCGTACCATTTGAAAACATCAGCTGCCCTTTACATTTACAGACATTCTATGGCAGGGGTGTCCAGTCCCGGTCCTGGAGATCTATGACCCTGCACAGTTTAGCTCCAGCTTTAATCAAACACACCTGATTCAGGTAATGAAGGCCTTCAGAGACATTTGAGTATTAGAGCCTGGTGTGTTGGATGTATACTCTCCAGGGTTGTAGATCTCCAGGACCAGGATTGGGCACCCCTGTTCTATGGTTAATGGACCAATAACAATGGTCTCAAAGTCAACTGGAATAAAATCTTTTTACATTAACATACAGTGAAGTTACAATTTTGGAGACTTGAGTTTTGTAACAACAGCAATGATAAGCATTCCATCCTTCCTGATTATGATGGTGAGAGCTCATTATATATCATTATCATCATGCTGAGTTGCTTGCTCTTTAGTATATCCTCCACAGGTTCCCAACCCGTGTCCTTCACATTTTAGTGTTCTCCTGCTCTAACACACTCACTTCAACTGAGGAAGGTCTTGTTAATTGGCTGACTAGTTGCATCAGGTGTGTGTGGATCAACAAAAAACCTAAAACACGCAGGGCTGAGGTACTCCAGGATCTGGCTTGGGTACCACTGCTCCACACAATTATGAAATACTGTAGATACATGTCTTCTCTAAAATATAAAAACAGAGTATTGTAATTTAATCTCTACACATAACAGATTATGCAAGCAATCAGTCAAAACAAATACAAAAAAGAACATGACTTCTCTCTAACACACACAAACACTCTGTGGGTAGTGGGTGAGAGGAGTGGAAAAGCCAGCAATCGATGAAGAGGAAGAGAGGGACTGTCCAGAATAGAATCTGACCACCCACAGCTGCTCAAGTGAGAAAAAGCTCTCTGTACAAATCAAGACAAAAACCTAAGCATCTAAGCCTCAGACATCCGTGTGAATAGCGAGTACTCAGACGAAGAAAAACCTACATTTCTGCGACCTCTTCAGATTGCAGACATTGTGCTCGTCAAAATCGAAGAGGGTTCATAGTAAAGGCCACAGCGGATGTCCTTTTTGTAATCTGAACAAGGTAAAAACCTGGCAAAAGCAAATTACATAACAAGAATTCGTCATCTAATGGAACTCAGAAAGAGCATAACCTGGAAAATATATTAGAAATGAAGTACGTTTATGAGGGTACACGGCCCACCTCGTATCACCCCCTTCCTCAACACCCCCTCAGTTTCTTTTCCTGTACTTAATTTTATAGGTTTGCTTTGGTCCCCTCAGATGAATGAATCCAGTGTGAAGTAGGCATGGGTTTTATTGCTTGGTCATTATCGCCTGGTGTAGAAACCTGTGGCAGAGGATAACAGGCAGACCATTCCTCCTTGTTTGTTGATCATTAGCATTAATTAAGACTAATCTCTCTCTGTCGCTCAGCTGTGGCAGGAAGCATATTTGTAGCCATGGCAACCGGTCCCATCTCCACACGGTGCATGTCTCTCTGGCCCACAGTCACTGTGATTTGTAGAGCAATTAAGTGGCAAATGTTAGGTGGAGAAGTGGCACTTGCAGAGGCCTGGAGTCCAATCTATGCATAACATCTGTAGTGACATGCACCAGTCCTCACATAGAGGCACACACTTTGTAACCATAAACCTGGCTCCCTCATAAAGCTACAAAAAGCTTGACATCACTACTCCAGAAATTCCCTTGGACCCCATCTGGTCTCTGTAATTGCTATGTCCAATATAGTGGACTTTTCAGCTGCATGAAAATATGCTAGCTGGAGCCGCACTCTGAATTTATATTTTATTTAGTCTACTTAAAAAAATAAGGCAAATTACATTACAAATTGCAAACGAAGGGTTATGCAACATCAACTGGATATACAGTCGCATGCAAGAGTTTGGCCACGCCTGGTCAAATGACACACTGAGAATAAGTTTACACATCCTCTACTGACAATACACATCTGCACATTTTAATGCAGAATTACAGTTTATTTGCTGAATTCAACAAATTGAGAAAAAACAGAAAATGTGGCCTGTCCAAAACTTATGGCAGTTTATATTTTACTTTTTTAACAGGTTAAACTTCATAAATAGAACAAATAAATAGAAATTGTGCACTAAATTAGCCATAAATGTGTTTCCTGTAGAGGATGTGTTAACTTATTTTCACCTAGAAAATCAACAAAACATGAAACCAGGTGTTCAAACTGTGCATACAACTGTATCCCATAAAATATTATCCCTATCAAGTCTTTTACTTCTAATCTGCCACAAATATTATGTAAATAATGTAGAATTAATTATTATGCAAACCATCCCAACATCCCAAATGTCAGACATTAAAACCTTCAAAACAAGAGAAAATATAAAAACATATTCAATTCTATACAGAATTCATGTTTTTTCCTTTATGATTAATTGCTAATAAACTACTTTGACACCTACTGTCACACTTCAGTTTCTCATCAGTCAGGCTCACTCGTGAAGGATACATATATCCTGCATGCCTACTGAACACAAATTTGAGGTGATGACTTTGTGGAAAAGCAAGAGCACCATCTACTGGACATTTTCAATAACAACACTGCACTAATGGTGACTGCAATGCAATGAATGCTCACTTACTACTTATAGCTTGCGGTAAAAGTTAAAGAGACAAACTAAAATACATGAGCCTCCATCACTGAATAAACTACATAAAAAGTACTTTAAAAACATATTTTATATTTCATTCTTTTATTTTGTGCTTTGGCACAGTTGACAAAATAAATGCCACTGTCACAGTAAACAACAGGTGATGGTGTCTCAACTGGGAGATATCAAAGTTAGATTAGATGAGTCTCAAATTGAATTTCAATGTATCAGATCAGAACACCTTAGTGCTGTCACAAGTGGACCCCAAAGTTAGCTTAACTAACCCACCATACTACACCACTGTTATTACTAGTAGGGTCAAGTTAAAAAAGTTGAGATTATTATGATTTTTTTGTTTGTCCCATGTTCATGTGGGACAGCAGAGCATTATGAGTTTATTTTCCTTCATCCTTGTGATTTTCAGACACTAACTGGGACAGATTTTACACTGAACACCTGTGGCAACATTTACATTAGGGGTACACAGAAATGTGTAATACATTTAGTTTACATTTAGTCACACAAAAAGAAACAAAACGTCTTATCAGTTCTGCAGTCTGATGACCCTTTGTGGAAAAGTGTTGAGGCTGTACAGTGGATTGAGGTCTTGCTAGCTGATATTGCTTTGTGGGTGCAGCTGGAAAGCCTTTGACAAATACATTCTACCGGCCCAGCAACTTAGCCACAAATTAACCTACAACAACATGTATCGCAAAAATCACTAGCATATAACAACATTATGAAAATCAATGTGCATTTAATGTATTATACTGGTTTTGATTGCCATGGTATTATATGAAGGTAGAATGACTGTCTGTGAGTGTGCACGGCCATAGTTGCATGGATAGAATGTAGATTACAGTTTTAGTTAGAGGCTCCAAGATACTGAACAAGAAACTCTACCACATGCCTACTGAGTTTGACACTGTCACTTATTCTGTAGATGACCATTATAATGCGTGTGGACAGAAGTCAAAAGGTAAGCAAACACCAGCTTGAAAGACAATTCACTTTAAACTTGAGAGCCACATGAAAATAAAGCGTGGATGGTCGCTTCTTAATTCTATGTGTTTCCACAAACAACATCTTGTGACCACCTTTGTGACAAAGATGATGTTAAAAAAAAAAAAATCAGACAGTGGCTTCTACTGGCTGGTCAAAGCAGGGGTCACAGAGAGGACAGGGCACTGCAGAATAGGCTGATTTTGGTTGTGCTGCTGAGCCATGTGTAGCACAGATACAGTTACATGATGGTCACCCTTTCTGGGGACACATGAGCAGCGGGCCTCTCATGGTCAGCGTGGCGCTGGCTGTTCTCACAGCCGCGGCGGATTCTCTTCAGCCTCCAGGCCACGCAGGGCAGTAGCAACACACCTTTCCCCACGATCACTGTCACAGGCAGCACCAGAGCCACCACAAAGCTAGGCGGCAAGTAGAAACGATAGGCCTCCTCTTCAAACGCCCGCTTCCAGCCAAACAGCAGCGCATGGAATGTAGCAATAAGCAGGGCAATATAGCCAAGAGTAGACTACAATGGAGAAAAAGGAAATCCTGAGTAAAATCTGACTCAACAGCAAATATGCTTACAGATACATTTCACTTAGAGATATAGGATAAGAGGATAAGGAGAAACATTTAGAACATATGGATCACTGAAGAAAGTTCATACCACAAACATAATCTACTATGAGTTTGAGCACTGCTGGTTAGAAAATTAAACAGGTCAAAAAAACAAATTGCAGCACATTTAAAATCATTCCAAGACAAGGCTTTGACATCTTTCAATTTTTTCTTTGAATTACATGGACAGTGTCGTCTGTTATGCACTGTAGCTAGTGTGCAATCCCACATAACATAAATAATGGAAACACTCGCTGTCAAAGAACTGTGTGGGCAGGGGTACATTTTGTAACTTTCATAAGACTGTTTCAATATACTTTTTTTTGTCAGAGCGCCGCACAGTTAACACATAAAACACATCTGTAATAATGAGCAAAACACAGGGACTTCAGAAAACTGTGGTCTAGTTCTTTTATGTATATCTGGATAAATGTTTCTTTTAAAGAATCAAAAATAAACAGTCAGCTCTTCAGAACAGTAAACACGACGTATAAATTGTACAGACAGCAGACAGTCTGTGCTTGGTAGCACAAGCATGGTGCATATTCTCTAACCTGGATAAAGCTGAACTCTCGCCAGTTGAGGGCGCTGTTTACTGATGGAATGGATGTGACTGCCAAGAGAGAGAGCAGTCCAAGACTCATAATACCGAAAGACACATACATCTCCACTCTCCACACCTCCTCCTCGTTCCATGAGTTTTCAATGTTAGCATGGACCTGGACAGAAGGGGGAGGTAGAGACAGAGAGAGACAGAGAGAGAGAGAGAGAGAGAGAGAGTCATAACCATTGCTTTTTGTCTAGTCCTCAGTAGAACCCACATGTGCTAATTTCTGTAGTTTTACAGCTACAACCCTTAAGTAATAAAAACTGATTTAAACAATAAAAATGATGGTTTATTCGGCAGAGCGTGGAGCTTCATCTGAATTAATCTCATGTTCTGAGGACGGCTGAGAGCAGAGACAGAGGGAGGCTGTCACATGAGGCTTTAGACTGAGCACAGGCATTCTGCTAGATTTCAGTGAAAACAAAGCATGCCTTTTTCTTCTTTAGTGTTGAGGACAGGACGTCTTATCAAGCATATGATCTTAATATCTTGAATACAATATATTACATCAACACAATTATGGTCATGAGTAAATTGAATGACGAAATTGTGCAGATGTGCTACACTCTATTAATGTGGGAATTATTTATAAATTCAAATTAAGTAAAACCACTTATATAAAAAAATCTTTTTTGAGTGTACATACAGGCACAGAAACAACACAGCTTAGGTACAAGACGAGTCAGATCTATCTAGTCAGAGTTTCAATTAACTCAAATTAACTACAGTACATCTAATAGTAGTAGGGTGATTCATGCTATATACAGAAAATATATAAAAATACAGAAAAAAAAATATTTAAAACATCTGAAGAATATTTTTCAGGTGTTTTCACACTGTGGCAAGGAATGGTTTTGCGAATTTACACAATTTTCCATTTACCCCAGGTGTAAGCTGGAGACCAAATTTTGCTTCTTTAGTTTAGAACTAGAGGCTAAGATTACTAATAATCAACCACTTTAGACAACAGGGTTGTTTCTGTTTTATTGTTAACGTGATACATTCTGTTTTATGATCAATATGTATAATGTTTCATTATAAAGAGAGCATAGTTAGTCCTAATAAATGGATATAATGCAGTAGCAGTGCAGCTTATGAAACATGTTTCTGGTGGCTGTTTTTAAATGTGGCAGTACTAGTGTACTGTGTGTGTGTGTGTGTGTCTCAAAATGTTACACATAACATTGTGTATTGTGGAAATGTCTTCATGTATCGTTATATGACATTTTTGCCATATTGCCCACCCCTATGGTCGGTATTCACAAACCACCTCAGTAGTAGTAGTGCTGACCTAGAATCCATATTTGTGACAATTACCATCATAAATAAGGAGGCTCGCTTTGTGTATACTAGCCCTGGTGTTGTCTAAAAAGGCTGTCCATAACGATGACGTTTTGTTCATTTTCAAAGCTCACAGTAAGTCATTCTGTGTCCTAAACCATGTTGGCAAGTCTATGCAACCTTAAGGGAGACCTGAAAGCTGTTTGAGTGGGTTTATATACTTATTTAAAGTCGTGGGGATGTATTTTTACAGAAACACTAGTGTTTGTTAGCAGTATCAGCCCATTAGCTTTAGTTCTAAACCAGGGGTGTCAAACTCAACCACTAAAAGGGCTTTATTAAAAAATCTTATCAAATCAGTGGACCAGCTGTGTTTTTATTTCATTTTTACTTAACATTTTTTCATGACCCGAACAGGCCATTGTTTATTCAAAATGTGACAAACTGCAACAGCAAAATAGGTATTAAATACGAAAATATTTATTTTATTTATTTATTAACAGTTTTTTTAATAGTGACTTTTAATTTGCCTGAACTACACACCAGGCATCTTTTCTTTTTGTTTAACCGCTGGCCTATAGATTGCTGTTAGGAGTCAGAACACACACTATGTTGCAGTGCATGCTGGGGACTGTAGTGCATCTCAGGATGAAATGGGCTAACAATAATAGAGAATTAAAATAATTTTGCAGGCCAAATGGGACTGTGTCACAGGCCTGACTTGTGTATGGCACATGAGTTCTAAACTAAATTAACTAAGCAAAATCTGGACTCCAGACATGTCTGACCAGCTTCACTGAGGTCAGTGGAAATTTTTTTTTGTCGAAACTATTCTTTTAACGTTTTAGCGTCACATTTCATGATTGGCACAGTTAAACTTACAGAACACTGATCTGCACTTCTTACAAAGACACACATCCACAGACCTGCTGGTAGGCCATGTTGAGTAGCAGATATCTTTCAGATCTCCTCATGGGCAGGCAGAGACTGTACAGCACATGAACGCATGCAAAGAAGAAGCTCAGCAGGCCCAGCTGCTTCCTGCTCTGCAGCCAGCCCTCCAGCCAATGGGGGAAGCGTCTATATTTGGTCCCGTAAAAGAGCTGGTGTGCAGCAGCAAACTGCCCTGCTAAATACACAAGTGCCAGTAGAGTTATAGCCACCACAGGCAGTGTCCTGTTGACCATTTCCAGAGGGATCTTATAAAAGAAGCTTTGCCTGCTCTTCATGTAAGGATGGATGATGTCCCGAACGAAAGAGTAGGCGAAGAAGAAAATGGACAGGGCCACAGCGGTCAGAACAGGACCTTTCCAGTCTGAGAACAGGCGTAACGGCATGTTCTCAATCTCCTTGGCTGAGGACAGGGTGCCCATATCCACTGGGATGAAGCCGAGCTGCCGGGCCAACTCAATGACCTGCTGTCGCGCCTCTACTGAGTTACTGCAGATATACACCTGTAACAGGACATTAAAATAGAGCTCACAATTATAGGTACAGATCCATTTTCAATAGCAAAGCAAGGGCAAGACAAGACAAGGCAAGTTCAATACAGCACATTTCATACACAAAGACAATTTGAAGTGCTTTACATAAAGACACGCACAAAAAAACAGATAAAGGAATCATAAGAAGGAAATAAAAGACCTAAATTATAGGTGCAAATTCTAGACAGAAAGTGCTTAAGTGTCATATCTGAGAGCTAAATACTGCAAAGTTGACCAGTCCTGAGTAAACTGAGAGGCCTATTAGGTTTGTATTCTTGGAGTAAATCAGAGAGATATTTTGTTAATAATGCACTAATAATATGTTAATGCAATAAATTCTTAACACCAGTAATTTTTTATAATGCTGTTAACTCATTTTCCTAGCCTGACCAAACCATCCCTAGTTGCACCCTGAAGCAGAGCTGATCATGTACTGTATGTTTTGTTTTTGTTGTATTCCTCTCTTCAAATATATCTTTAAAGTTCCATTGTGACTCTCTTGATACAACCAAATCTACTGTCATGCCATGAATTTGTTTATTACTGCAGTATGTCAAGTCTAAATGATCATTTACAAGCAAAATACACTGCTGACATGGCAAAACGTAATGTTAATGTGGTAATATGGCAATAATATCGGAAACTTTAGCACTGGAGAATGACTTTAGCAGACTACACTGAACACTGCTCGTGGGAGAGACACTAACAAAAGCAACAGTAAAATGGAAACCTACACTATCCCTGTACAAGGTGTAATGTAGCGGTATGAGAAAGAGAGGACGACAATCACAGAGGAGTTGACACATGCAGACACTGTTGCTCTCACTTTCATCATTGGCGATGAAAACTAGTTCTCTTTTCAGCAATCTTGCTGCTACATTTTAAATAAGCTGTAGCTATCTAATGGTGCTTTTGGGGTGACCAAACCTTCTGGAGATAAAGGCAAAAATCACCTTCTCTAATTCCTGTTCAAGGATAAAATTTCTAATTCTATACTAAAGCTATACTATGAATGCACTAATAAGGGGATTACGTGCCAAAGCCAATATTTCATATATTATAGGTAAATATCTGCCAATGCGGATGAATAACCATTTATAAATGTAAAGAAAAATGGGATTACATCTACTTGGATTTGCATTATGGAGAAATAACACTTATTCTGTTTATAAATGCAGTAAAACCAAGCAAGTGCACACATTTTAGCACAGCAGCCTGGCATCCCCTACACATTCTACTCTCTCTGAGTACTTCTAAACAACATATTTTTTAAAGCAGTTATCTGCCAATGTGGCTATGATTCCATCATGCATCCCTAATTTAGAATATTTCTGGACTGGTGAAAAGCTAACTCCGCCGCTTAAATATCTGAATCCATTAGTACACAAAAATTTCTGACTTAGTCTCCAGTCTTTAGAGATCTGGTGCCGTATTACAGAAACTTCCTATCTTTTCTCCTAACTTAAGATCTGACAGGTCAAAATAAGATTTTTCACCAATTCATGTTACAGAAGCAAATCTTATCTTAATTTTGTTATCTCATCTTACAGCATCTTATCTCAAGTTTAAATCTTAACTTACTCACTCAAAGTCAACAATCGACTGTCATGTCTGATACCTAGCAACCGACCATACACGTACAGCTGAAACATAATACGTAACACGAACATGGACACGTGAACTTGTAATCAAAATAATCAAATTAGTTAGCCAGACAGTTAGCTACCGTTACTGGTGTAAAAAAGGTCAGACAAACCTAAAGTGCGATAAACTTGAAGTTAAGAATATTGTGACGCCGCTTCATGCTGTTCATCAGAGCGTTTCTGGTTTCAGTTTCAATATTTTAAATGCTTTAGCCGATCATGCTAACATTATTCCTCCTAAAAAAACAGACACATGTTCAGCTCTGTCTCTTCATTATTCACCACCATCACTGTACTATTTTATCTAACAAGTTTTCAACATTAACACATGAAGGTAATATGAGGGGGAGGTGGAGATCATGTCTGCAGTGTCTGGGATTTTTAGAACGCTGTTTAAAAGAAAAAAGTCACAAGTCAAAGCACTGTTTTCCATGTAGATAAATATGGCAAGCCATTTTGACACCAATTCTGACTAGTCAAAATATACTTCTGATCAGTAAGAATAAGAATTATAGATATTTGTGATTTAATTTTTTACTAGTGAAATTCATAAATTCAATTTCTTACTAGTCAGAACTCATTTTCAACATATGCTAATTTGTAGAAGACAACACACCTCCTCTTTGTCGCATTAGTGACAAGTCGCTAAGTGCAGATTCCTTAGACTATGTATCAAAATAAAAGTCACTCATGATGGATGGCAAGTTACTACCATTGAGTTTGCGGAATGAAATTATAACAATGGCCACTCATTGTGAAGAACTGATTTGTAAAATAGATTTTAACCTGAACTAGGCCAGAAAAAAGGACTTTGAATAGGCCTAGTTTTCATTTAAACTGGAAAAAAGTAGCCTATCCACATTAACTCCTCCCAAAATAAACCCAGCTGTTTATTTACAGAGGCGTATCCGTTAGGCACACTTAAAATCAGGTCGGATTACAAATTAATCTACTTTTAAAACTATATGGTGCAGTACAACTAGACCTAAAATAAAACTTAGATAACAAAATCACAAATTCAACTCAAATGTTACTGTCCAACCCACCATAAAAATGTTATGGCCAGTAAAGCTACTTGGCACACCAGTTAGCTAGCTAAACTGTTGATAACTGTTGACAGTTTAATCTTCTAGTTGCTGAAATATTGTCAATATTCCTCCAGTCACTCCCTCACTAATGTGACCACATTTAATACTCTGTTGAATGGGTCAGATTCTTCCTCTACCCTTTATTCCTCTCCTTCACGGCTGCATTGCATCTTGTGCCCTGCGCTGATTGCTGCACACACACCAGACATTTCCTGCCTAATGTGGCTCTCATAAATATGCATGAAATGCAAATCTCATTGTTTCTGTATTCTTTAAACCATTGGAGGGATCTGAAATATAATTTTGACTAGTAAGAATTAAAATTCTGCATTTAGATATCAATAATATTATTCTTACTATCCAAAAGAAATGTACATACCTACAACTGTATTTTAGAAATTTCTACTAGCACAAATGTAACTGCAAATAATCTGTAATTGTATTTTTTACTAGTAAAAATGTAATTATGGATAAGACAGAATGAAATTCCATGTAAATCAGTGGTAACATATGAGTAGTCAAAAAAGCTTTATAGATATGTATATTTGATATTATGACTAGTAATAATTGCATAGTAGACATCTGAAATCATAGTTTTTACTAGTAGAAACTGCTCTACAGATATATCGAATTTTGAGTTTTTACTAGCAAAACCAGTTACAACTTGTATCGCTGGTATCATTTTAGGCTAAAACGGCTTGCCATACATAAATATAACATTGTTATGTTAGAACTATGCTGCCTGTCACTGCATAAATTGATAGAAACAGATGGCTAAAACAGAAGTTAAGACACCTCAGGGGTTGTCTTAAACTTAGGACTGAATTTAGGAAATTTTGTCTAGTTAGGATGTTTCTGTAATGCTGTTTTCTTATCTGGAGTTAGGATAAGATTACTAACTTAAGAACTGTTGTTCTGTAATAGCTTCTGTCCTAAATTCAGTCCTAACTTAAGTTGTCATGTTGACTAAACAGTTAAGACAAGATTTCAGACTTTAGAAGTTTTTGTAATACGGCCCCTGGAGTCGAGACCATCACTAAGCTTTTTCTCCTCTTTACTTTTGTCTTTTCTTTATTTAGCTGGAGGAAATTTTGGCACATTCATCCATTTGTTTGTTTTAAGCACTGACACAAAGTATCTATGGGAACATGGTTACTTAGCGTGAGAGTTAAGTAAATCTGGGTGTCATCAGCACAATAAAAGCAGATAATAGCAGATAAAAGCCATGAACGCCTTCTACTTCACAAGTATGAGGAATCTGCTGGGAGATAAAAAGCTCTTGTGGTATTCTCAAACAACAAAATCAAATTAATTCATGCTTTACATATTTCAGAAATCAGACCCAGGAAAAAAGAGCACTTGGAGACTGTAGCTTTTAATAGCCAAGTCTTTGTAATATAACCTCTAAAAAGTCATCTTGTTTCCTTTTTCCTCTTCTTTTGGGGAATTAAACGTCCCCAAAGCAGGCAGAGTACAGCCTTTAATGTGACAGCCTGCTTAGCTGCCTGCATTTACTACAAAGCAATTTCGTAAAATCTTACTAGAACTACAGTGATATGAGGAGACAATATTATCCCCAGAAGTCTTTGCCACTGACATCAGCATGCAGCAGGAGGACCTGCTTTGAAGCTAACATTCATCTCCTTTTATTTCACATTGTTCAGTAGGCTTTACTGTCAGTAACATTAAAACAAAACTTAATAGCATTGCACTTACTACTATAACAGAAAAATGATGGGGCTGCATTAAATAATAATAATAAATATAAAAGTTTAACAGGTCATCATGTGTTTTGATGTTAAAATTTAAACCCATGCTGCTGACCTGTGCTGACTGTACTGCTGAGAGCATGCACGGTGCTGACTCCATTCACGCAGCTAATTCTGGCATTTCACAGTGTGGCAGGCCAACAGCTTGGCAAGATTCTTATTAAGCAATGCCAACAAAACTCTAACCATCATTACCTCCTGAGCTCCTAATTTAATGAGTGGCTACTTGACTACAATTAATGGGCCCTTGAGGGAGTAACAATTTGGCCCTTACCAAATAGTGAAGCCACAACAGACTGGTGATTTCAGGGCACTACTGTATCTGATCCAATTAACTGCATATTGTTTTCAATCACTTTAAGAACTGCCTTCATTTGACTCATCAGACTGGCTCAATCCCACATCTTACCTGCCGACTGGCATCTTTGGGGCCTGACTGCATAGCCCAAGCTGAGATAACGTTAAACCCTTTGACCACAGTGGACTCTGAGAAAAGGGAAGCAAGGTACTCTGCATTGGATTCGGGGTATTGGTTCACCCGCCTGTTGTTACTGACATCTATCAAGACCTTGCCAGCCAGGAGGTGCTTAATGTCCCAGAGAGAAGGGTAGTGCTCTCTGCGGATCGCCAGGAAAAGCATGGAGGCCTTCCCTACTGCGTCTTCATGGTGGGTTACGTCCACCACATGAGGAAAGAACTCAGCTGCCCGCTTGGGCTGACGACTGCCCACCACTACATGGAAGCCACTGCGGAGCAGGCGAATGGCCAAACACTTGGAGAAGTCCCCAGAGCCAATGATGGCCACGGTGGGCTTGCTGGGCCCCTCCCTGGGCCCATTCTTCAATCCGTTGGGCAAGAAGGAGGCTTTGGTGGTAGCAGGGCTGCTGCCCATCAGAGAAATGGAGTCCATTTTCAGGCCTGGAGATCCTGATCTTGATTCCTAGAAACTGAAAGGACACATCAAGTTAAAGGTGTAAACATGTTCTAACTTCTATTTTATTCTATTCTGTTCTGTTCTATTCTATTCAAAGGTCTTCATGCAGTTTTTAAGCTAATATTATACATTGTCATGATCTACTGCAGAAGAGCAGTGTCACCTACAGTCACGACAATGTAGAACAAGCTCAGTCCTGCTTAGCAAAATTTAGCAAGGATGCATCATTTTACGAGCCTCAATAATCCTCAAAACAGCGTTTAAATAGGTTAGACAGAAAACCTGTTACACGACACAACTGGAACCATCAGTTTGAGGTGTTTTGAGAATCCTTCACATTGCTCACAGGTCCACATATAGCCTAGAATGGTATTTTTTTAATCATTATTCCGCTCTAAAATACCTTTTGTCCTTTCAGAGAACAGCCCACGCTGTGTCCTCTTCGCAATGGAAGAGGTCAGCGATTCTAAAGAGCGGCATGATTTCCCGCACGTCTCGCTGAAAACGCCTTTTGTACGGTTCATCTCACAGACGCAGCACTGCTCTCTCTGTTCTCCTGAGAGCTGCGAGAGACCGCCAATGTCACACAATGCAGCACAATACATGAATAAACGGAGGGGAAGAAACGCCTGAAAAAAACGACTTGGTGCAGGAAAACGTGCAGCAAGACCTCACGTCCCGGTTTAGCGTGATGAGGCTCTGCGCCGTTCAACCAAATTTGGTTAGTGATAAAAATGTCTGATGTGTATTTCTGTGTACCTGTCATAGGCTCTCCGGGGCTGCCCGCAGACGGAGCTGCTCTCCTCCACGCGCTGCTCTCTCCGCCCTCCGGCCGCAGGCTGTGCCGCGCTCGCCCTGCTGCTGGATCGCGGAGCGGAAGCGACACTGGTCCACAGAGCGCCATCTGGCGGCCGGGGAGCAACGAAGTGGAGGAATAGCGCACTTCTGATGCAGGACAGACTAGGACAGAGGTTAGGGATATATTCACAAAGAGCCACACTGACCCTTGGTGGACACTGACCCTTGGTGAAGGCCCTGAACTGCAACACTGGTCTTTCTAAGTGCGACGTCGTCGCCTTATTATCTTTTTTATACTTGATTCCTTGTTATTTTTGTATTAGTAACTATTTCTCTTACTAATCATTATTTTCCTTGCAAAAAAGATCAATAATACAGTAAGAAATAAAATAGTGTAGTGCTATATTATTATTATTATTATTATTTAGTGCTATCAAGTCAGTTCTGACTCCTGGAGAATATATAGATAGCATTTCCCCAGAATATTCTGTCTTCTTTTTGGGTCTTCAGGCTTATTGGCTTATTCATGATTTCTCTGACTGTATCTAAACATATTGTTGCTCCTCTTCCAATCAGAATTGTCAGAAGTGCTGTTTATAACAATTCTATAATAATGTATAACTGCTATAATATCCTTGCAGTAGTGTCTATAGTAATACTATCCTACAGTAGAATATTATACTATAATAGTATCATGAAGTAAACTATAGTAATTGTCTGAATGTACTATATAAAAATCTTATAGGAGTCCTGTAGAAATTCTTGTAGTAGTTTAACTTTTTTCCATACAAGTTTGTCCAAATATTGCATAATTTTTACTTAGTAAGTGGTTATTTCAGCAGAACATCTTGTATTTTGACTTAATGCATCATTATTTTGATTTTTGATTGCAGTGCTTCAATAAGCAGCTTATGCTTTTAGGGCTATAACTAAATATAGGCTTGCCTTTTCTGCCAAAACCTCCTGAGGTGTAGTCATCACGACAGAGACTATCGTGGTCAGAGGTCAGCCATAAAAGTGACAAGTGTCCTTTTTTCAGAGAATATGTATTTAAGATGTGTGAATTTTAACAGTGAATTTTAACAGTGAATTACAATGAACATGCAAATCATAAACCTTAGTTTGTATGGTTTGTAAACTGTTGTAAAACAATAAGAGAGGTCAATAATATTGACATCTAATCACATCAGCATTTAAATGGCATGACACAAGCAACTAGAAAACATATCAAATATGAAAAAAATCCACTTTTGCAAAACAGAAGTTACAGATTTTAAATCATACTCAACAAAATTGGCAGCAAACATACTCAAAATCCAACCTATATTTTGGACTTTATGTAACATAAAAATTCAGAGTGAGTCTTTGTCTGAAAGCCCCTTTCGGCCTGGTCTTTCCCAGCCATGTCGAATGCGATCCAGTCTCTTGTCCAAACAGGGCATGACCAGCACAGCCTTGACCAGTAACACCATAGCTGGGAGGAAAGAGGCCAGAATGAATGATGGAGGAGTGTACCACACATACTGCTTCAGTTCCACCCACTTCTTCCAGCCGTACACCAGAGCATGAGCCGTGCACAGGAACAGGGCTGTGTATCCCAGAGTCCTCTGCAATACAGAAACACGCAGAGAGGCTTTGTGAAACCATGAAAAAAAGAATGACAAAAACCACTGGGCAGAGTGTCTTCTACTTTGCCCGCCATGGCTATGAAATCAAATCCAAGTGCTCATAATCACTTTTCTGAGTGCAGACTGTCCGAAACATTTCTCATGATCTAAAACCTATACCACAACTTTAACATATCATACATGGTCCTTATGTTCTGTTTCTCTTACCTACCTGGATACACTGAAACTCTCTCCAGTTTAGCATGTCACTAACAGAGGGGAGGGAGGAGATGGCCAGCAAGGCCAGTATGCCCAATCCTAGAATTCCTAGAGAGATGTAAATCTCCATCCTCCAGACATCATCCTCGACCCATGCACTCTCCTTCTTTTGTTGCACCTACATAGATAACACAGGTGTTAGAGTTGTTGTTATTATGCTGAATAAAGGAATAAAATGCAGTAAACAAAATAAAATGCAGTAAACAAAATTTGTAACAAAAGTATAGCCCAGTTCAACCTTGAATTCAGTTTGTTAATATAGGAGTAGATTTCAAAGATAAGTGCAAATTTCAAAAGAATAACACATTTGGACAAACACCATGTGTTAGTATAAGAGCTCCATGGTGTAGTTAAACCTAGCAATATTTGCCCGCTTACATGCGCACATCGGCCTGACTATATCAACAAAAACACGTCATTCATTTCAACCCTATGCCAACAAACACAATCACTCCTTTATATCTTATTATTAGGTCTTGAAATCCAATGAGCTAGTTCACCTTCAGGAAACAATAGCCGACGCTGGGAAAGGACACAGCCATTTACTCAAATGATTGTAAAGCCAGTCAATCAAATTAGCCTAGGCATATTTCAGGGAGGAAAAAAAACTTAAAGAAACCCTGTTGCATGTAGGGCTATTATGTAAACCATGAGAGAATAATTGTATCAAAGACACACTCATATATATATGTCAAGTGGCTGGTGACATTTTGGTAGAAAAAGGATTTCAATAGTTTGTAAGAACATACCCTCCAACTAAGCCTAGAAACATCACAGCATGATATTTTCACTGACCACCACTAATCCACTTTGGCTGACCCTCTAGTTACCTGCTGATAGGCCCAGTTGAGAAGCTTGTACCTATAAGAGCGTCTCATTGGGTAGCTCAAGCTGTAAATGGCATGCAGACAGGCCAACAGGAAGGCCAGCAATCCTAACTGTTTCCTTACACTCATCCAGTTTTCCAACCAGACAGGGAAACGACTGTATTTAGTGCCTGAAAGAGAAGGGGCACAGTTTGGCTTATTTCATTTTACCTTTAGTGAATACATATTATGCAGAACTGAATATTAGGTAGTATTGGTAGTACCTTTTCAGAACATGAAAAGAGATAATATTCTTTCGAACTCTTCATTGCTCTGTAGTAGTTTTATCTAGGACATCATTAAAGAAGCTATTCAGCAGGAGTGGTTATGCACAGGAAGTCTGAGTCAGAGTATGCAGTAAACATTGCACCACACTGCCATATTCGGCCTTTCTGATTCAGCGTGATGCTGGGGGTGGGGTAGTGAGGGTGAGGCCATTCCACTCAGATTAGAACACAGCAAAAATACAGGCACAAATTTCATACTGAAAAGTCTGGGTGTGGTGGACCACTTAGAGACCTAGTGTGTTTCTGTGAGAGCAGAGCTTATAAAAGGGACAAGCAAAGACACAGTTTACACCTGAGTCATTCTGGTAGAAGAGGGGGAGGGGAGGTGAAGTGCCTGTGTGGAAAAAGTGGCAGGAGACACTAAAACCACACTGGCGTTTTTTCTATGTTTGATTTACATGTTTGTGTCACAACTCATGACTAAGTATCTTAAGATTCCTCTGTGAGCCTGTCTAATAGGAGGGTGCCTTTAAGAAGGACAGATTGAAGAGTGTAAACAATTTCTCCTAAAAATAGTACTCATCCTCTCTGTCCCCCTGTGCTTTCAATAAATTCACCCTGGCACTGATGTTTAAGAGCCCATATACTGTGTGGTTTCATGCATGAAAAACAGTCATTTTTACATGATCATTTTCTATCCTTTGTTTAGCACTTACAATTTAACCTGCTGCTTTCGTTTCTATGTCTTTAAAGGTGAATTCAACCAATGTTTAAAATTTCCAAACTAAATTATTAGAGCGGTTTCATGAGAAATGGTGCAGTGTAGAGAAACTGACTGACTCAGATTTTCCTTACAGTGGTGGTGTCTCAACAGTTGAATTATGTAGAAATCGCCGGAATTCCCCTTTAAGCCCAACACATATGTAAATGCTTTCCATTCTGATTGGCTGCCCATTTATTCAAAAAGCAGTTGAGTGAAAAACATTCCTTATAACTTCATTGTGAATGGGTGGGTGAACTGCTGTAGGCTGATATATTTAAATGCATGTGAAATCCCAAAAACAAAAATTCAAAAATGGGCTGTTTAGCAGCCTAGTTTACATATACAGACTGTATGGACTGGAAAGTGAATGTCACATTTTTAAACTATGTTCAGGTACTACATCAAACTCTTATTTTATAAAGTGAGTAAAATGTGGTTATCCAGGATATGGGCCTTTTAATGTGTTTTAAAAAAGTGATTGCAGTTTTGTGTTTCAACCATGAATTCAGATTATTAATATAGTAGTACGTTTGTATATAAAAAATATAGTAAATAGGGACAAATACCACATGTTAGTATAAAGGTTTAATGCCATAGTTAAACCTAGAAATCATTGCCAGCCCACGTTGGCAATGCCAACAAACACTTTTTAATGTATGAATAATGAATAACATCATGAATAACTGAGATTAGTTCATGCCACTTGCTTTGCTCACCTCTGTGGAGTTGGAGCAGGGCAGCCAGTATACCAGGCAGATATACGAGGGCCAGTAGAGTGATAGAGGTCCAGGGCAGCACTTTATTCAGCACCAGGATGGGGATCTTGTAGAAGTCGTTTTTACCCATAGATACATATGGCTGTAGCACATCCCGCAGGAAAGTATAGACAAAAGCCACAGCCATGAGAACAGCCATGAGTTTGAGAGGGAGGTGCCACTTAGGGAAGAGGGGCATCTTTTGTAGATGAATGCTGGCAGGGAACTCAAACTCTTCCATTGCGACTGCAGACAGTAGGCGCCGCTGGCTCAAGCCTGACAACACCTCTCCCTCCTCCGGCTCCTGAGAAGGAGAAAAGAGCTGTTGTCTTAAATCCAATTACAATCACAGAGGTGTCTGATCCAAAAATGATATAGTGCCTTAACAATAAACAACATTTAGTGGCAGTTTTCAACGGAAGATGCAATTGTACTCTGACAACACACACAACATGAGAACACTATTCATTTTCTGTCCAAGATTCAGACTTGTAACTTGTTTCCTTCTACTTTGCAGGTCTTTTCACCATAATACTCCCATCTTAAAGATTACCAACAACTAATGCTAAAGTAATTAAAAACTGAGTGAGAGCAGGAATGCATAATCCTCTTTTTATAAATGATAGCTATTAGGCTTCTTCGGGTCTTTATAACAGTTTTTTCTTCATTTTAAAACACTGCTATATTTTAGGTAATATGTCTTTAGTTCATAGACACAAATTTCCTCTCATTTGCACCTCATTAATTAACACAGTATTACAGTCAGGGGTGCAAATTTGATCTGACGTATATGTGTGTTGGTGTGTGGAGGTGGGGGTGTATGGTCTACATACAATGCTAGCAATTGCAGATTTCGTACATAAAACTAGGTTAACAAAGTATGCCAACTTACCATGTTCTCATTAAATCTATTTCTTCATATAGCAACATTAAAACACAAAAACAAACAATACTATTAACAGGACCTATATTTGTGGATGTTTGGTACTGTATTCATCATGTAATACAAATAAAAGGTACAATGACCATGAAATATGATTGGTGTTATAATAACAATACAATCTATGCACTTTTTTGTCAACAATTCTGTCACCCCACAAAAATTATATCATGTAATTTCATAAAATGCCCCAATCCCTCTCTAAATTCGCATCAATGGCTACAGTGTACAGTGCCTTTTGGGTTAGCTGCAGCTGCGCCAGTTCCACTTCACACAGCTGAAATCTTTCTTCATGATGGTCATCTCCCAAATCCTGAGGATCTCTCTCCATTCTGGGGCATGCAGCGACAAACAGTCCTGCAAACACAAATCAAAGTGTTAAGCCTGGCCTACATGGACTGAAGGAATGCACAACTGACTTAAAGAGAGAACTGTATAGCACATTCCCATGCCACGGATGAACTTTTCAGGCATGGGGTAACAAGAACAAAGCACGGAATTCACGTGACTGGCCTGAAGTACCCAAGACAGTAATCCTATGAGTGGGAGAGACTTTCACAGCTAGTGAGGTTAAGAACTTTCACACTCATCACAGTCATTTGTGTATTATACAAGGAGTTGAAAGCAATACATTTTATATGCACTACAATTATTATGGTACATCTAGAACTGTGTAGGTATAGTTAGTTACTATTTGTAATGCTATATACAGATCTGCACATTAATCTGACTCCCTGCTATATTTATCTATATCTGCTCCTGGCCACCAAAGAAAGAAATCTGTTAATAAATTAAGAGTCAGTGATCACTGAATAGTAAATCTTCTCAGAATGATACCCACAGGCTCTGCTTAGCCTCAGCAATGTGTAAAGTCCACTCAACGGTCTAACGACTTCTGCTTGGTGTGCAACGTTAACATAGACAGATGGCACTGGAGGAAGTTAAGTCATGCCAAAGGCGACATGATCTAACAAACGTAGCCACACAGACTTACCCAGAATTGGGTCAAACAGTCAAAATGAGAGCCATACATCGGCAGACACACTGCACACTTCGCAAAGAGTCGACAGCACAAACATGAAGACCCAAACACTGAACTCCTACAGTCAGGGACACGATGACCTCGCAGGAGTGTGTCACCACACACGCGAGATCTCAGAGAGACGTGGCGAATGTAGGCTACTTTTTGGAAGAGACGGCGAGTGAGAGACGTTAGCCCCGCCCCGTCTAGATCTCCACCTATCACCGCTAGCCATGGTCCCGGACCACACCCACTTTACGCAGCGGCGCTCAGATTCGGACTGAAACTTACTTCAACCCTTCATTAGACGAATGGAAACCGTTTGTGGACACTGGAGGGCTCTAAGCGCTCCAGCCACCCCATCGTTCAGCCACCGCAATGTTCTTTAGTGTACAAGAATAGAACAAGAATCGGTGATAAAGAAACAAAGAATGTAAGAAAATCTTTGGACTCACTGCACTTTATGAGAAATAATACTACTAATAATAAAACGCTAGAAGCGGTCCTGAATGCAAAGGTATGTCCCACATTGTAAATATGCTTGGTAAGTACATTGTAGCATAAAGTCTTCTTCAAAAAATCTATGAAAACATTCCAGCCCGTTTAAGAAACCTCACCTAATAGTAAAGCATGTGTTCAGCTACAGCATGCATGCACTTAATTACTACACCATATACTGATTTGCAAAAAGTCATCTTTATTTCATGATTATATAAATAAACATAAATAGACGTTTGTTTCAATAATGTTTCCTGTTTCTCCCACAGATAATATAATCATTTGTGAGTTTTTATTTGACTTTTATACTTTTATATTGTGCTATTTTTTATTATAGTAAACATGGTATAGAGTTTATCATTTTGAGTCTACTGACTGCAGTATGTGTAACGCTTGGTTCTTCTTTGCCTTGTGCCACTGACCAGAACTGAAGTTTTCTTCTAATTAAATTTTGACCAATTTCCTTTGGAGTTGTTCACATGACCATCCTGTGATTCTGTCTGTCTTTCCAGAAGGCCACATCAGAACCATTCCCTGTAGCATATTTTGCAGAACTGTTGTAGAGAAAGATACAGATTTAAATCAACATGCGTTTCACCACCTGGCTCCTGGCTGGCATGCTGACCATAGGCACATCCACACTGTGCTCTGCAGGCCCTTTCCACGCACAGTGCAAAGTGGAATGGTAAATATACTTTCTTTCTTTCTTTCTTTCTTTCTTTCTTTCTTTCTTTCTTTTGTATATTTCTAAGTGTCTTGGCATCAGTAATGACTGTGGATAAAATCTCAAGTGACAAATAAAATGTATGAAAATCACAGAAACTGCATTGTAATCATCAGTTCAGAGTTTGTTTATTTATAATGCATATTGAAATTACCACTTCGTCAAAGTGACTACACATTGCAGAAAGCTGGTTTAATGCTAATGGTGTTGTAAATGATTACAATATGGCAATATTATATTTCAAGATCTTATACTCGATAGTCTGGTTTATAATTATCCTTGGTAATTGGAATATCCAGAATAACATAGAAATCTGTGTGTTCTGGAGTAGGTTGTCTTGTTCGCCCAGTCTGTACAGCATTATTTTGCTGTTTCAGTCTTGGATGAATGTTCTCATGGGCAGTTTAGACAAAACAAAAGCATGTCTGTTACAATTCAGAGACACAGCTTGGGGCACACAGTCATTTGATCTCTGTTGGAAGCCAACATGTTTGTTATCCTTGCCAAGGCCTGCTAGCAAAAAGTAGCCACAACTTGGATTTTATGTCCCATCAAGAGTCAAATGTAAAGAATCTGTGTGATAATGACTGACAGGAAACTGGCATATATGCATTAATATACTTATGAATTACATTCACAAATCTGAAATGAAAAAAAGTGTTTCATGCTAGGATTGCAAATGTGGAAAATATACTTCGGTATGTGCTTGTCTTTGGTTAAACTGTCACTTCAAATGTTTTCAGAACAGCAAATTAATTCAGCAATGACCTCTTTACTCCACTAGATGTCAGCATTTGAATTTAGATATTTCGACATGATGCTGTGGTTTTTAACACACTGAGCGTTTTTTGCATTTCCCTAGTCTAACATGCCTGACTCAGCTCCCAAAGGGCTTGGAAATTATCTTATGAGCTGACTCAGGTGTTACAGTACAAGAAAACACAATAATATGTGGATCTTGAGCTCCTCAGGATTGTATCTGGAAGCCGCTGGGAGGAACACGAACTGACTTTAAAGCTGCATCCTCTGCATATCTTGGTTTCAGGTACTTTGGACTTCCCTGCAGAAACGTGTATGAGGCCTTGGTCACTCAGATTAAGAAGTGGAGGACAATGTCAAGTTGCATCATGGGGGGAGAAAAGTGTCTATACAAGGTAAGTCTGCAGGTGTTGTTTTAGAGAGAAAAACAGTAAAGAGTAAATAGCAGTATTTATTTTAAACATTTAATGACAAGTGTTGGCCAAAATGGTGCTCAATAAAACATAAAGTACTTGAAGGAATGTTGTAGTAATGCTGTACTGAATAGCAAATTCTCTATTTACATTTATAGCTCCAATCAGCCTCCCTGCACTTCATTTCAGCAAAGCACACCACGCCAGTAAAGAAATATGTGGATGATATCACCTTTCGACTGGTCTCTTATGGATTTTTCACTCATTGCCATGTATCAGTAAGAATCAGACAAAAAAATCTCTTAAATGCCTGTTTTGCATTTTCCTTTAGGGCTTGAGCTTATTATTGTATGTCAACAGCTCTAACTCTCTCCATAGGCAATGTCAGTCTCAGAAACATGGTATGCTGTTAGAGACCATGGCACCAATTACTGCAACCTCTACAACTTAATAGAAGGTAATGTATTACATGCTTCAGCTGCATGAAGTTCTTCACCAGGATGCAACCATCAAGAATCTTTTAATAAGCTTCACAGAGCTCACAGGCTAATAGGCTAAGGTTAAACAGGGAAGATTTGTGGTTTCTGACTCCGTTCTGTTCCTCTGTGTAGGGAGTGGACTGACTGAGGCTCCAGAATATAAGGAAATCACCAGTGACTTTATGTGCACCCAGCGGTCCTCTGCCAACTGTACTGTGTACTGAGACAGATGTCAGCTTCATGTTATCCTCACAGCAGTATTACAGATATTACTATCATAATTTAGGCATTACTATCAAACTCAATCTTTTAGAATATATTAGGTAAAATTAGTTAATTTTGGTTAAATACTTTTTTTTTTTACTTCAGTATTACTTGCAGGAAATCATATTTACCGAATTGTAGCCACTTAATTACTTCACCCTTTAAACATACTGGTTGAAACTGAAGCCAATTTGATCTGCAACAGCACATGATGAGATCACTGAAAACCTCGTGAGCAAACTAGTATGACTGGCCTGAAATATAGATCAGAAACACATTATCCTTTTAGGACACGAAAATTGATATGGAGGATCATCATGAAATTTACATACAATATAAAGGACAACAGGCATTTTCAAATTGTGTCAAAAACTGAAAAATGACAAAAATGGAGATACAAGGTTTTGTCCAGACAGCAGCAATATATGTTTTGTTTTTTTTTTCAAGAAAATTCTTCAGTGGTGTGTAATACATTTTTACAATGAAACCCTTCATATGTTTAAAGAAAAAAAGAAATAGAAATATTTCTATAGAGATTTTATACAGTATATTTCAAGCATTTTCAAATCTATCTTTTTATCTTTTCCTCCTTCTTTTCTATTCTTTTTGGTGAGTCCAAAATTTAATACAAGGGCAAACATTATATTTTATCTGCTGTCCTTAGCACAAAGGAAACTTTTGTAGGGCAAAAATAGCTCGTAGAACTGGTGAGGTGGGGCGTTGTCTTCAGAGAGACATTGTTCTTTTTTGACACATGGAGCAGTTTTTCTCTTAAAGACAGTGGTGTTGTGCAGATCTACTCCCAGCCATGTGGATTGGAGGGCAGCTTTTATTAGGACAGCAATATGCTCACCCTGGCTTGGCCATCCATCACAGAGAATCCAGCGCTCATCACTGTGACACTGCTGGCCAGGGGCGTCACTGTCTATCCTGGGTATTCTGCCCTGTAATGCCTCACACTCAGCTGTAGAGGGCAATGTCTGCAAGCTCCTCCCTCGCCAATTTAGCAATAATCAGTTTGTATTTCTGCTTTTTTCCCTTTGGTCTAAAGTTATCTCCATCTTATCACCTGATTGCAGTAATTCTGTTTTTTTTTTCTTTATAAAAGTTCTTTTGAACGTGATTTCTGCATTGAGATATTTTGCTTTCTTTTCTTTCAGCCCTTTTCAGTGGTAGGAAGTGTTTGATTCATTCTTTAGTAATAATACAAACATGTTGACATGTTGGTCATGTTGATTAAAGCTATGTATGTCCAGCACAAAGTCTTATTTTATGTACAGTGTGTCTTTGAGTGTACAGGGCCAAGCTGATGTGGTATTAGTGACGCTATGGATGATATTAGAGGGCAAAACATGGTGAGGCTTTCCATTTGCATACTGCTTAAGTCTTCTTTTTTCACACCATGCTTAATATCTGAACTACTGGTGTAAGTGATCTCTGAATTGAAGAGTTAAAATTAAACTACTTAAAGGGTAAATACTTAAAGAGTGAATCTGGAGCAATTAACAACAGCACATATTTTGAGGAGATTGTAAAATCACATACACACTATTCAAAATAAAAGTGCCAAAATGATACCAGAAAAGAATGATTTTCAGTAGACTATAAAACGTTTGAGTGAATGTTTTTAATAATCATTTTTGAAAATGAAATGCACAAGTGAGGACCTACACATAATGTTAAATATGATATGATTTTCCTAAAACTGTCCATCCAATCAAGGAACCAGTTAGGAACCTTTTTTTGGACAGTTATTCTTTATTATTAAGATTTAAGGTAAATGTAATTCATGCATCTCTAATTTAATCTTAATTCAATAAAAAATGCAATAACACATTCCCTCACCACTTTCTCTCAGCACTGAGGCTGCTCTTGATGGGTGGCTCTGTGGTCAGGGGGGAGGAGTGTAGAATTTGTGACACCTTTTTTTCCTGCTGGCCGACCCAGCTCTCAAAGTGATGAAATTTGTCATTGATGAAAGGGTGCAAAATCCTCTCAAAACCAATTAAAGAGGCCCTGGCCCTCAGGGGCAGCAACCGGCAGCCTGACAAGGGCCCACAGTGGGAGTGCAGAGAGGTAATCAGTGCCTGGCTATTGAACAATATTGAAAAGCACAACAATAACGCACAATAAATCACTGTGCGAGCTACAGTGGATATGTGCTCTCAAGGACAAACGGGTTGTCCTCTTAGGCACGGAACTCACCTTGCAACATGCTTTCACCCTTTCTTCTTTCATGCTGTTATTGAACTCTCAAAAGTCTTTTCACGCTCCAGAGTTTGCAGACTACAGGTAGCATAGACATGAAATTAACATGTGTTGTGAACTGGACATGTAGGCACATATTAGTTAGTTTAATATTATCTAGGGGTAAAAATTAGAATAGAATAGAAAAATAGAATACAATCTCTTCCCTTTAACGTACATTGAAAGTTATGTTTCTTTCTTGTATTTTATGACAGTAGTGATATATTTTAGCTGCCGCAAGAAAACCTTTTATGTCCAAGATGGTTAATTTATAGGAGAAGTAAAAAAAAAAAAAAAAGTTCTTAGCTTTAAATTGAAGTTAATTGAACAATGTTGTTTTCCAAGTAATTTTGGAGCAGTTCTGTTTCTCCATTCTTCATGAAATTATAACACATTGTAAAGGGCAGTTGGCATTTCAAATTCTGTAAAAAAAATTATAAATGACAAAAATAGAGACAATCTTTCCATTTTGAAAGTCTTTATTTGAGTGTGCATTTCAGGCTGGCAGAGCACAGATGCAGCTTGTGTATGAAAACACGTAAAACGTAAATGCATTTGAATTACACACTTGAGATTAGTGAATTCTGATGATAGGGAAGATAGGGAAGTTGCGATTTGCCTTAAGTCAGACCCTATCAGTCAGTCTTGTGGCGCAGCTCTCATTTGGCATGACATGGCATCAGATCAAGGGATGAAAGGAATGTAACTGGAGGGCTTTCTCCATGTGCCCTAGTCAATAACACTGAGCATCACCCCCTCTACCAATCAGACCCCCACCCAGCCAAGCACCTGAGAGACTGGGAGCACAGCTTGGACCTCGACCGAGTCACACACACTCGCATACTATGTAATATCATCATCCAATGGCACTTCATCGCGAATAAATTTCCAGATGCTGTTACACTTTCAGTGCAGATTAAATCTCACCAGCGTCTGGCCATAGCCTGCGTCTCCCCAGGGCAGAGGCAGAGTGTGCACTACCTGACAGCATTACGCTTGTCACCAACATACGCCCGGCTTTTCTTCCCCCTCACTGGGTCTGTCACTATCGCTCACGTCCTGTACTCACATAAGGAAATCGGAGAGAATACCCCATCTCCATCTCTCTCTGAAATGTGTGAACCTTCATTGCGCTTTATTACGACAACAACCCTAAGATAAGGAAACTTGGAAGGATGTATTAAGCAAACTGATACATGTGGAAAAAATGCACTTGAGTCCTTGTTCCACTGCATGTGATCTCTCCCTGAGGGCATGGTCCTTTTTAAAGAAATGTGTTAGGCTATTCTCTTTTATTACCACCAGTTCACTCTGCTTCAAATGAAATCCTTGGGGAAGTCTGTATTAAGAGCCCTTTGAAAACATTTGTAAGGATCTGCTTGCCATCATTGATTCATTTATCATTAAATGAGAGCTGAGAAATAAGAAAATGTTCTCGTCTTTCCTATCTGCTGTTTTATGACTTGCTGTGATGAGCATATCACCCTCAATTAGAATGCAGAGCAGAATACCCATTTAAGGTGTCCAGTTGCTCATTTACTGAGGTGGTTGCTGTGATTTTTTTCTTTTAGACTCTCTGTGTATTAATGAAATCCCCCACTCACATGATTTCATTTGGCCTACGCGTTAATGGTGGGGGAAATAATAATTACATTGAAATATTAATTCAGCTCTTGAGACAGAGCCATGAATCACTATCGTGACCATGTCGAACATAAGCTCTCGTCCTTTTTTTCCTCTGTCCGACTAGACAAATTAAAATGACAAATAATTGCAATTCACCCTCTGAGGCCTGAACCTGTATTGTATTTAGAAAAAAAGTGCTGTGGGGAGTGGTTGAAGGAGGAGGGAGAGTGATGAGGTCCATTTGTTATGCTGTGTTCTGGACACTCAGGGCTTAATGACAGAGGGAGCAAGAGATCAAGGGCAATGCTCTGATTGGTCATGTGTGAAAGAGTGCTATAGGTGTGATAATGGTGTTGGCTGTGTAAGCTAATGTACGGAAAATTCTGTGCTATATTACAGATTAGAGCTGTCTTCAATTACTTGGTATTTCTGAATGAATACTCAAACAGTCATTCTCTAAATCACCCTTTTTATTGTATTTATTGTATTTTCATCACTGGAGTTCAAAATATGTCCAGCAATAATGTATAAAGTCAGACTGAAGCCCAGCTGCTCTGGCACCATATGTTGCTATGGAAGCCGCAATTATAACCCTATCGTTCAAATGCAGCTTTTATGAGTCCTATATACAGCAAAGGTAGAGTGAATTAGAATGAGTCAACTTCTTAACATTGGTACTGTTTTATGTAAGACAATCAAATATGTGTAATTCATTTGTTCATGACGATTCCAGAACCTCTCTTTATCTTTTTGAATTAAACAGACTGTTTTAGTTTCTTTAGGACATGTTTAGTTTCTTTGACACATGATAATTGATTAATGTCCTCTATTCTGATTGGCTGCCCTGTAGGCTGGAATGTGCAGTAACAACACTTTTTATCACTTCAGCATGAATGGGCAAGCTAAACTCATATAGGCTGAATGGGTGCTCATATTTAAATGTGACATCACAACCATAATTAGTTCAAGATTTAATTAATGCAAGTTATTGCAGCCTAGTGATATGGGCCCTTTAATCCTTGTTGCTTGAATAGGCAAAATATGGAGGCATCAACATTTTTACATTGTATATGCATAGGCAAGTGGAATCTTTTCACACCTTTTTTGATTTGCACATTTGAAAGAGCATGTTAAAAACAGCTTGAGGTTTGTTTTAAGCTCTGCTGCCACTCTGGGTTTTGTGAAGAGCGATAGCCCTTACTTGTGTTTAGATGCGCGCTCACCCTCTGCTGCTCCTCCTGAGTCTGCAGGCCATCCCTCAGCCTCTCCTCCTCGCTCTACTGCTATCAGTCACCAGCGATCTTGGAGCTGAACGGCCTGACGCAGTCTGGGCGATGGGATTAGCAGTAGGGAGCTGGAGGGTGATTGCATTTCCGTGCTGTCTCTGTGGTGGAGGGGGTGGTGATGGGGCCAAGGTGGGCACAGGTGAAGGCTAGTGCTGCAAGCTCAAGGAGGGAAAGCTTGGGCGGGCCAGACAAAGGAATGGATGTATGGCCGGTGTCATTCGGATGTGTCCACGTTGTTCATCACTCAGTGCTTCAGAGAAAGGGAGGCCATCGCTTGGGCCTCGATTTGAGTTGTGTGGGTTTCAGGAGAAAATTCCCAATGCCATCCTTGTTCTAGGCAAGGCACAGAATGGGCTGATGTGGTGACCTCAACAAGACTGTGACTCTGCAGACTTGGGGCCTTATGTACTAAGCCTTTTGCGCCAGTTTCAGGTGCAAATCGGAAGCATTATGCCTGTGTGTTATGTAGAAAAATACTGCACAAGCCTAAATCTGCAGCTACTGGGCTGTGTGCATGGTAAAACACAAAATGCAATTTACATTTGAGGAGGAGTCGTGGAAGCAAGCGCTCGTGGCCAGGTTTGGGTAAATTTTCCTCCACCTTATAAAACCAGCCATAAATTTGTGTCAGGACCTAAAAGATACATTGTTGTCAGACTTCCTTTAACAATGGCAGCAAACAGTTGGACATGGTTGGAGG